TTTATTTTGAATTGATTTCAATTTACTTTGAATTGATTTCAATTTACTTTCAATTGATTTCAATTTATTTTGAATTGATTTGAAGTTACTTTGAATTGATTTCAATTTACTTTCAATTGATTTCAATTTACTTTCAATTGATTTCAATTTATTTTGAATTGATTTCAATTTATTTTCAATTGATTTCAATTTACTTTCAATTGATTTCAATTTACTTTCAATTGTTTTCAATTCATTTTGAATTGATTTGAAGTTACTTTGAATTGATTTCAATTTACTTTCAATTGATTTCAATTTACTTTCAATTAATTTCAATTTATTTTGAATTGATTTGAAGTTACTTTGAATTGATTCCAATTTACTTTCAATTGATTTCAATTTACTTTCAATTGATTTCAATTTATTTTGAATTGATTTCAATTTACTTTGAATTTACTTTGAATTGGTTTCAATTTACTGCCAATTTACTTTCAATCGACGTCCCATAGAAATCCAATAGTAGTCCCAAAGAAATAAGACAGAAATACCATGGAAATCCCATAAGAATCTCACAGAAATCCCATAGAAAGATCATAGAAATAACATGGAATAGCATAGGAACCACAAAAGAAATCCCATGAGAATTCCAATAATAATCCCATAGAAATATCATAGAAACATCATGGAACTACCTTGGAAATCCCACAGGATTCCAATAGAAATTCCATAGGAATCCAATAGAAATACCATAGAAATCCCATAGGAATCCAATGGAAATCCCATAAGAATACCATAGAACTCCCATAGCACCCCTTCAGAAATCCCATAGAAATCCTCCAGAAATATCATAGAAACATCATGGAAACCCCATAGGAATTCCATAGAAATCCAATAGTAATACCATAGAAATACCACAAAAGAAAAAAACTTTAGCAAAGGAAAAGGTAAAGGGAATGCTTGAAAAAGAAATCACACCAAGAAGCATCACACCAAGAAGCATCTGGACACAATAGTGTACCCTCCAAACAAACCACACTATTGTGTATCAGGGTTGCTCATGGACTACCCCCTTGAAAAATTGTTTGAGTGATGTTGTTTAATTGGGTTTTAATAAGGCATCATATATTTTGGGAAACTGGGCATTTCTGAGAATTTCAAATGAAAGAAACTAAGAACGTAATTAAGTAATTAAAAGAAAAAAACTTTAGCAAAGGAAAAGGTAAAGGAAATGATTGAAAAAATCAAAAAATCATGACCTCAGGAAACAGCAGGACACAATAGTGTACCCTCCAAACAAACCACACTATTATGTATCAGGGTTGCTCATGGACTACCCCCTTGAAAAATTGTTTGAGTGATGTTGTTTAATTGGGTTTTTAATAAGGCATCATATATTTTGGAAAACTGGGCATTTCTGAGAATTTCAAATGAAAGAAACTAAGAAAGTAACTAAGTAATTAAAAGAAAAAACTTTGGCAAAGGAAAAGGTAAAGGAAATGATTGAAAAAAACAAAAAATCATGACCTCAGGAAACAGCAGGGCACAATAGTGTACCCTCCAAACAAACCACACTATTGTGTATCAGGGTTGCTCATGGACTACCTACCCCCTTGAAAAATTGTTTGAGTGATGTTGTTTAATTGGGTTTTAATAAGGCATCATATATTTTGGAAAACTGGGCATTTCTGAGAATTTCAAATGAAAGAAACTAAGAAAGTAATTAATTAAAAGAAAAAACTTTAGCAAAGGAAAAGGTAAAGGAAATGATTGAAAAAATCAAAAAATCATGACCTCAGGAAAGCAGCTGGACACAATAGTGTACCCTCCAAACAAACCACACTATTATGTATCAGGGTTGCTCATGGACTACCCCCTTGAAAAATTGTTTGGGTGATGTTTTTTAATTGGGTTTTAATAAGGCATCATATATTTTGGAAAACTGGGCATTTCTGAGAATTTCAAATGAAAGAAACTAAGAAAGTAATTAAGTAATTAAAAGAAAAAACTTTAGCAAAGGAAAAGGTAAAGGAAATCATTGAAAAATCAAAAAATCATGACCTCAGGAAAGCAGGTGGAAACAATAGTGTACCCTCCAAACAAACCACACTATTGTGTATCAGGGTTGCTCATGGACTACCCCCTTGAAAAATTGTTTGAGTGATGTTGTTTAATTGGGTTTTAATAAGGCATCATATATTTTGGGAAACTGGGCATTTCTGAGAATTTCAAATGAAAGAAACTAAGAACGTAATTAAGTAATTAAAAGAAAAAACTTTAGCAAAGGAAAAGGTAAAGGAAGTGATTGAAAAAATCAAAAAATCATGACCTCAGGAAACAGCAGGACACAATAGTGTACCCTCCAAACAAACCACACTATTATGTATCAGGGTTGCTCATGGACTACCCCCTTGAAAAATTGTTTGAGTGATGTTGTTTAATTGGGTTTTTAATAAGGCATCATATATTTTGGAAAACTGGGCATTTCTGAGAATTTCAAATGAAAGAAACTAAGAAAGTAACTAAGTAATTAAAAGAAAAAACTTTGGCAAAGGAAAAGGTAAAGGAAATGATTGAAAAAAAACAAAAAATCATGACCTCAGGAAACAGCAGGGCACAATAGTGTACCCTCCAAACAAACCACACTATTGTGTACGTGGATTTAATTTTCTGTGGAAGGCATCTGGAAAATTTCAATGATGGAAAATATAAAGTAAAAGAAAAAAGCTTAAAAAAATGAAAAAAATGAAGCATGTTTGAACAAACAGAAACAAGACCAAGACACAATTGTGTATCCTGACACAATGACACAATTGTGTATCCTGACGCAATTTAAAATGTTAAATTAAAATAATAAAATAAAAATTGTAATTTAAAATAAAAATATAAAATAATTAAATTAAAAATTATTATAATTAAAAATAAAAATAGATAATTTAAAATAAAAGAAACAATAATTAAATTAAACATTATTATAATTAAACATAAAAATAAACAATAATTTAAAATAAAATAAACAATAATTAAATTAAAAATAAAAAATATTATAATTAAAAATAAAAATAAAAACAATTAAAAACTAAAAAACAAAAAACATGGAAAAAAAAACTTACACCAAAATCCTGTGGACACAAAACTGTACCCCTCGATCATTTCCAAAGATACAAAATAATTTTGGAGTCTGTGGACACAATTCTGTATCCCCACACTAATCTGTATCCCACATTAATATCAATTAATTATCATGTTATACTTGTTCATTTTTGCCACCATGTACTTGTCATTCAGCATCGAAAATGAACCGAGACAAAATCATTCCAAATGAGAAATTACATGAAAACTAAGAAGGAAACGACAGCAAAAATGAAAAAAACACAAAACACGTGTGATACACACAAAAATGAAAACAAAAACGAATGTGAAAACAAATGCGCAAAAAAAGCTGAAAATTAACAATTTAATGAAAAAGGAAACGAAAAAATGAAAATGAACAATGATATGGAAAAAACGAAAAAACGAAAAACAACGAAAAAAACACGAAAAAAAACCGGAAAAAACGAAAAGGGTTCAAAAAAACAAATCATTTTGATAATTTCCAAGGACAATTTTCAAGGCAAAGGAAGGAAACATAGCCAAAACTATACAGAAACAAAACAAAATGAAAAGAAACGAAAAGGGTTCGAAAAAAAACTCCTGGTGGCAATTCCCAAGGGGACCAAGGACCATTTTCGAAGCAAAGGAAAGAAAAATGAAAATGCCAAAGGGATGAAAAACAGGAATGGAAAAAACAATGGAAAAAAACTTAACGGGGATAAAAGGGGAATGATAATTTTCAAACCAAAAAAGATGATCAAATGGGTGCTGGTGTCGCTGCAGAGGGTGGCTGCGAGATGTCTATGGCAATGTCGGCGTTGAAATTACATGTGTGCCGTAGCAAAAAAGGTGAGCGCTTGGTTGTCACCAAAAAATGTCTTTTGCTATCTGGGGTCTATGCTAGCGTAATTTTGTGACTGCTTGATCCTTTGCAGATGCCTTTTGTGTAGCTTTCCCACCTACACAGAACAGCCCCCAAGGACCCCAGACTTACTTCAGACTTGATACTGATACTGTGCCAGCTTGCGTTCGGTCTTTGGTGCGTGTTTGCCATGCACGACTGTCAGGGTGCAGAGTATCTGCTGATTCTTCTATCTTCTGGCCACCTGCTCGCTGCTAGCACGGTGCATTTGAATGTTGTGCCTGTGCCCCAAGCCGCTCCCGCAATTCCGCTGTGAAAGATACAGATACTTGCCTCTGCTTCTTACCATGGCTTCACTTGCGACAAGGTCTCTTTTGGCAACCCTGCCAGAGGCAAGCGCCTATCAATCCTGTGCATGTGTTTCTTCAAGTTGTCGTTGGCATAGTTCTTCAGCGTCCCGAGGTTGGCGATGACCATGGAGCAGGTTCCGCTCTGGCAGCTTTGCGGGGATGGTGCGTAGTAGCATCAGGCGCGCTTCAACCTTGCACCCTTCATAGTGGAAAATTCAGGAGCTGGACTGTGCCAAGATTCAGTAGAGTGTTTTTTGCAACTTGACCTGCAGGATCCAAGCTAGGCCTTGTGGACATTGCAGAAGGCCTTATTCAGAAAGACGCGCGCACGCAGGAAAAGATCGAGCCCATTAGATTTTGGCTTTTATGAACAGTATGACAAGATATACCTGCTGAGTCAGCTGGATCACTGGATTCCCTATCTTGGATTTGCAATGTCTATGGCTGATGTGTAGGAACCTTAAAAAAAACGTGATCTTCACTTTCCAGTTTCCTAGCTGAAGCGGCAAAACCTTGACATCCTCGCTGCGACACGAGAGCATTGCGCTGTGGCTTTTGATTTCCAGATTGATGGAGGTGTGTACCATGGCGGTTCTGGCAGCAAGGTGAGGACCAAGGGTCTTCATACAGAAGGAATGAGGGGCCATCGCAAGCGAAGAGTCTTGAGCATTCTGCACCAGGCCTTTGACCTCCCCAAGGGATCAACTGCTACTATTGTCATGTCGCTCGAGGAGGTGGGGCGATGAACGAATTATGTTGAATCAAAGTCGAATCAAAGCCGAATCTTCCAAATAGATTCAATTCTGACCGCTTTGAGTTTGTCACACACAATTCCCACAAGTCTTGTTGCTCCTCACATGCGCCTCCATGTCCCCACATGTTTCCACATATGTTCTTACATGTTCCCAAAGTGTGATGAACAGGAAGAGGACTTAACACTTCTCGTCGGTTGTTCCAATGGCCACTTGCTCCTGTACTCCTGCCGTCACCTTAGCAGCCACTGTGCTTAGCCTGGCTCTGCTTGGCTCAGCTTAGCGCAGTGCTGTGCTCATTTTTTGGCCGAGGTGGCACCTCCTACAAGGGCCAGGCCTCTTCCGGGAAGATCAGGGAAGATCAGGGAGAATCGTGAATCGGACTGTTGGAAATAATGGAACTTAAGGCGCATGGACTCTTATGGCGCAAACACCCCAATTGCACCACTTCAGAGGCACTACCTTATAGCCTTCTCAGCAATAAGGATTTCTTTTTTCCAGCGTTTTCCTGTGGTTTTGGTGGATTGGTGCCTCTTTGCATGCTTGTCTCTAAATGTCTTTTGGGCCTTCTCGCCAATTTGTCGAACTCACCTGTCTATCATATTTGCCTCTTGCATCCATCATGGAAATACATGGAAATACTACATTGCATTTATTCTGGAATCTCCTTAGCCATCCTTCGTCTGATGTAGCAGATGTGGTACCAGCGTAGCATCCGTAGTGCAGACGTTGTGCCAGCATAAGATGACGTGTCTGTGCGGATGCAAAAGAAGTACCCCCACCCCACCGCACATCAACCCATCATGCGTGAGTTACCTACAATTGCCACCGCGCAATCCTTGGCAGCGACTTCGGTCGTTGAGCCAAGAGCAGAAGACAAGTGGAGTCGCAGACGCGCACGTGAGCAAGATTTGCAGAGATTGGCAGGCTTGTGCAGTAGATTGTCCATCAATGTTTTTAGCGATTTCGATTTGGCAATTCACATATTATTTCATTTTCCGCATCCTTGTCAGACGGCTACTGAACGGGTAGTAGCCTGCATTATCGCCACTGCCGCCGGCAGTCTTGACAGATGGCGATGGAGAGAGAGAGAGAGAGATAGATAGATGGATATATATATAATATATATATATATATTTATGTATATGTATTTGAATATATATATATATTTATACACATACACATATGTATGAATATATGTTTATGTATGTATGTATATGTATATGTATGTATATGTATGTATACATATGTATGTATATATGTATATGTATGTGTATATATATACACATGTATATATATATATACACATGTATGTATATATGTATATGTAAGTATTTATATATATACACATATTATGTATATATGTATAATGTATGTATATAAATATATACATGATACACAGATGTATGCATATATATATGTATGTGTATATATATATATGAATATATATATATATATACGCAAATGTATACATGTACATAAGTATATATATATATATATGTATGTATGTATGTACGTACATACTGAATGTTATGTTATGTTATGTTAAGTTTTGCTATGTTATGTGATGCAATGGTATGTTATGTATTGCTATGTTATTTTTCTGTCATGTCATGTTATGTGATGTTGTGTTATGTTATGTTTGGTATGTAATGTTTGTTATGTTATGCAATGTAATGTAATGTAATGTATGTTATGTTATGTTATGTCATGTTTTGTTTTGTTTTGTTTTGTTAAGTTATGTATGTATGTATGTATTTATGTATGTATGTATGTAATGTAATGTAATGTAATGTAATGTTTTTTAATGTAATGTAATGTTTTTTTTATGTAATGTAATGTAATGTAATGTAATGTAATGTTATGTTATGTAATGTAATGTAATGTAGTGTAGTGTAGTGTAGTGTAATGTATGTAATGTAATGTAATGTAATGTTATGTTATGTTATGTTGTGTATGTATGTATGTATGGTATGGTATGGTATGGTATGGTATGTAATGGTATGTAATGTATGTATGTATGTATGTATGTATGTAATGTAATGTAATGTAATGTAAGTATGTATGTATGTATGTATTAATGTAATGTAATGTAATGTAATGTAATGTAATGTAATGTAATGTAATGTATGTATGTATGTATGTCCGTGTGTATGTGTGTATCTATGTATATGTATCTATGTATCTATGTAATACCAGTAGTACCGCACAAGGCGGTGGCGGAAGTTTCAAAAATAGGAAACCGGTTGGTTGTTGTGAATCACGGATGGCAGAGCGAATCCACTGATGGACCGAAAGGTGGTTGGAGTTGTGTTTTTTGGAGTGGTTGCGCTGGTTGCACTGGTTGCAGTGGTCACCTCACCACAAGTGCTGGATGTAGTTGTGTAGCGCAGTTGTAGTTGTAGTTGTGGTGTAGTGTAGTGGAGTTGTAGTTGCAATGTAGTGTAATTAGTGTAATGCAGCAGCAGTTGCAGTTGTAGTTGTGGTGTGGTGCAATTGGTGTAGTGTAGCGTAGTGTGCTGTAGTGTCGTGTACGGTAGTGTGGTATAGTGTAGTGTGGTCTAGCGTACTGTAGTGTAAAGTAGTGTAGTTGTAGTTGTAGTGTAGCGCAATGTAATTAGTGTAGTGTAGTGTAGCGCAATGTAGTGGTAGGTGTAGTTGTAGCCGCAGTTGCCCTTGCAGTTGTAGTTGCAGTTGTAGTTGTAGTGTAATGTAATGTAATTTGTGTAGCGTAGCGTTGTGAAATGTAGTGTAGTTGCATTTGCATTTGTAGTTGTAATGCTGTGCAGTGTAATTAGTGTAGCGTAGCGTAGAGTAACGTGTTGTAGTTGTAATTGTAGTTGTAGATGTTGTAGTGGTAGTAGTGGTAGTAGTGGTAGTAGTGGTAGTAGTGGTAGTATTGGTGGTAGTAGTAGTAGTTGTTGTTGTTGTTGTGGTGTCATTAGTGCAGTGTAATTAGTGTAGTGTAGCGCAATTAGATGCAAGTAGTGTAGCGTAGTGTAATTTTGTGTATAGTGTAATGTAGCGTAATATATGTGTATTTGTAGTTGTAGTAGTAGCGTAGTGTAGTCTAGTGGTAGTTGTAGTATCTATCTATCTGTCTATCTGCAAGTTTGAAAGCGAAGCTATTCTGCGAGACTTCCTCAGTTTTTGAACGTGACAACATCAAAAACGCAGCAATGCTGCGACGTCCCCAATTTTTGAACTTGACAACATCCAAAACGAAACAATTCTGCGAGACGCCTTCAATTTTTGACTTTGACAACATCAAAACAAAGCAATTCTGCGAGACGTCCTCAGTTTTTCAAGTTGACAACATCAAAAACGAAGCAATTCTGCGAGAATTCCTTCAACAATGGAAAGTTGAGTGCAGAGCTGACGGCCTCATACCAATGCGTTTTGCGATTTTCCCAGTCCATCTGTCTAAAGTGCTGTGCCTGCCACGAAAAAGTGATGCCAGGTCATGCGAAGTGCTGCACCTATCACGCAAAATCATCTTAGCAAATCTGAAGATCCGATGCTCCAAAATGCAACCGCTCTCAGGAAATCAGCGCCCTGACCTCCTAACATCTCTGATGAACATGTCTCTTGTATCGCCCCTGCTACGCGAAATGCATCTTTGCAGATCCTCTTCAAATGTCCCACGCCTGCCATCGTTTTTGGACATGCAACAAAACCTTCACGTTTTGCTCACTTTGGCAAGGTGCAGAACCCCTGGCGCCTGCCACGCGAAACGACATCTGAACGTCCAAAAGTGGTCCGAGCATGTGGTGGTTTTAATATGTTAACATGGAAATGTGCTTCGCACGACAACGGCGTGCACTTTTTGAACATCTCAACTTCCAAGAGTGCTCCGAGTTTGGCGTGTTTTACCTTCCAAAGGTGCTTCGCGCCACAACGGCCTGCACTTTTTCGACGTCTCAACTTCCAAAAGTGCTCTGAGAATGGTGTGTTTTGCGCATTTTGACTCCTACATGTGCTTCGCGCCACAACGGTGTGCACTTTTTCAACATCTCAATTCCTAAAAAGTGCTCCGAAGCTGAAGGGTTTTATACGTTTTGACTTGGAAATGTGCTTCGCGCAACAACGGTGTGCAATTTTTCATTTCTCATCTACCCAGATGGCTCCGCACCCGCCGCTTTAGCGAGCCTACTTTTCGAGCCTCCGGAGCCACAAATCACGGGAAAAACGCAGTGATTCGCGACTTTCTACCTCTTCGCGCACCTGCATCTTCTTTCTTCTGATTCTTTCTCTCCTCTGATCTTCTTTCTTCTTTTCTTCTCTTTTCTGACTCTTCTCACCTCTGCTTTTTCATTTGTCCATATTGCCGGAAGTTTGACTTCTAAACTTCCTGCGGTAATGTAATGTAATGTAATATAATGTAATGTAGTGTAGCGTAACGTAATGTAACGTAACGTAATAAAATGCAATGTAGTGTACAGTAAGCGACTAGCAGTTAGAATTGAAATATAACGGATTCATGGGTATGAATTGACATTTTATAAAGCGCATCCATACCCAAAAAACTGTAGTTAGAATACCAAAAACCAAGGTGCAGTTAAAATATAAATGAACATCATATATGCCTGGATAAGTATATAATATATATAAGAGTGTATAAATATCAGTCACTCACTGAATTTGAGAACCAACACCACAAGGTTCCGCTGATTTCAATAGTTTACAGTATCTTCAATGGATAGTTATGGGAACAATGATGCCCAAATAACTTACGGTTGGTTTTGATACTGTATACAGTATATATATATATGTGTGTGTGTGCGTGTGTGTAATTTAGGTGATAATTAGTTAAGTTGATAATGACAAAAACAATACTAAACAAATAGAACCAAACTGTTTATCTGTGTGTATTGTAAACTTTCACAATGGGTCATTGTTTTTTGACGCAAACCAGCCTTCAACACAAGTTTTGTTCAATACCACCGGTCTACATCAGGGTTGGGAAACCTATGCAGTTAGAATTTGGAAATTACCCTTAATTCCACAAGGTTCCATCCATCGCACTGGCTTATTTCCAACTAAACAGTTATGGGAATAAAGATGTCCAAAGAACATATACAGGTTGGGAGAAATTCAAGCACTATCTCACTGCTACACCTTCAAGCAGGCAGCTGCAACCAAACAACTTACTAGTGTCCAAACTGTGACAATGCAACCCAATTGGTGCAACCCAAGCATCGACAGCTAGTTTGTCCAACACCACTGACTGCAGCCAAACAGCCTATCAATAATTACACTGACAATGCAACCAACCCACTTGGTGCAACCTAAACATCAACACCAAGTTTGTCCAATGCCGCTGGTTTGCATGAACGTTGGGACAAAATCATGCAGTTAGAATATGGGAATCGAATTAATGTAGGTTCCCAAAACCTCTCTGCTTTACTTCAAGGATGCAATTGCAACCAAAGAAGCTAGCAGCATGCAAACTGCGACAATGCAACCCATGTGGCAACCCAAAAATCAACATTTGTGTGTTCAATACCACTCGTTTGCATGAAGGCTGGGAGAAAACAACGCAGTTCGCACCATGCCACTGCCATATCTTCAACTAGGCAGTTGCAAGCAGCTAACCTATACCATTATCATACCATTATCATACCATTATCATACCATTATCCAAACTGTGACAGTACTTCCTAAAAGTTACAGCGAATCAACACTTGTTTGTCCAATACCATTTATTTGCATGAAGGTTGGGACAAAATAATGCAGTTAAAATGTGTGAATTGAGGTAGGTTCCCACCATCTCAGCGCTTTACTTGAAGCAGGCAATTGTAACCAAGCAGCCTGCCAGCATACAAACTGTGACAATACAACCCATGTAACCCACACATCGACACCTAGTTTGTCCAATACTGCTGGTTTGCATAAAGGGTGGCAGAAAGTAATTCAGCTAGAATGCGGGAATCAAGGCAGGTTCCCACGATCTCCCTGCTGCACTTCAAGGAGGCAATTGCAAGCAAAGAAGCTAGCAGCATACAAACTGCGACAATGCAATCCATGTGGCAACCCAAACATCAACACCTAGTTTGTCCAATACCACTCTTTTGCATGAAGGTTGGGAGAAAACAATGCAGTTTGAATATGGGAATCGGAATTAATCTAGGTTCGCACCATGTCACTGCTGTATCTGCAACTGGGCAGTTGCAAGCAATTAGCCTACCAGCATCCAAACTGTGACAATACAACCCATAATTTACAACCCAAACATCAGCAACTAGTTTGTCCTATACAAGTGGTTTGCATGAAGGTTGGGTCAAATTCATCCGTTTAGAATATGGGAATCAAATTACTTTATGGTCGCACCATGTCAACCAGACAACCTACCAGTGTCCAAACTGTGACAATGCAACCCAATTGGTGCAACCCAAACATCAACAGCTACTTTGTCCAATACCACTGACTGCAGCCAAACAGCCGATCAATAATTACACTGTGACAATGCAACCAACCCACCTGGTGCAACCTAAACATCAACACCAAGTTTGTCCAATGTCGCTGGTTTGCATGAACGTTGGGACAAAATCATGCAGTTAGAATATGGGAATCGGACTAATGTAGGTTCCCAAAACCTCTCTGCTTTACTTCAAGGATGCAATTGCAACCAAAGAAGCTAGCAGCATGCAAACTGCGACAATGCAACCCATGTGGCAACCCAAAAATCAACTGTTCAATACCACTCGTTTGCATGAAGGCTGGGAGAAAACAATGCATTTAGAATATGGGAATCGGAATTAGTCTAGGTTCGCACCATGCCACTGCTTTATCTTCAACTAGGCAGTTGCAAGCAACTAACCTATACCATTATCATACCAGTATCATACCATTATCATACCAGTATCATACCATTATCATACCATTATCATACCATTATCATACCATTATCATACCATTATCATACCATTATCATACCATTATCCAAACTGTGACAATACTTCCTAAAAGTTACAACGAATCAACACTTGTTTGTCCAATACCATTTATTTGCATGAAGGTTGGGACAAAATAATGCAGTTAAAATGTGTGAATTAAAGTAGGTTCCCACCATCTCAGTGCTTTACTTGAAGCAGGCAATTGTAACCAAGCAGCCTGCCAGCATACAAACTGTGACAATACAACCCATGTAACCCACACATCGACACCTAGTTTGTCCAATACTGCTGGTTTGCATGAAGGGTGGAAGAAAGTAATTCAGCTAGAATGCGGGAATTAAGGTAGGTTCCCACGATCTCCCTGCTTTACTTCAAGGAGGCAATTGCAAGCAAAGAAGCTAGCAGCATACAAACTGCGACTTTTTGCGCAACACAAACATCAACGCCTAGTTTGTCCAATACCACTCGTTTGCATGAAGGTTGTGAGAAAACAACGGGGTTAGAACATAGGAATCGGAATTAATCTATATAGGTTCCCACCGTCTCTTTTTTTTGGGTCTTCAAGTAGGCAATTGCAATCGATTAGCCATTAGCCTACCAGCATCCAAACTGTGACAATACAGCCCATAAGTTGCAACCTAAACATCAACTAGTTTGTCCAATACCATTTATTCCATGAAGGTTGGGTCAAGTTCATGCAGTTAGAACATGGGAATCGAATTAATGTATGGTCTCACCATGTAACTTTTTTTTATTCTTCAGGTAGGCAATTGCAAGCAAACATCCTATCAATAAACAACGTGTGACAATACAACCCATAAGTTGCAACCCAAACATCAACACTTGTTTGTCCAAGACCACCGGTTTTCATGAATGTTGGGAGGAAGCAATGCAGAATCGGAATGACTCTATGTCGGTTCCCACCGTCTCACTGCTTTTTTTTTTTAACCTTCAAGTAAGCATTTGCAACCGAGTAGCCATTAGCCTACCAGCATCCAAACTGTGACAATACAACCCATAAGTTGCAACCCAAACATCAACACTTGTTTGTCCAACACCACCGGTTTGCATGAAGGCTGGGAGAAATCATGCAGTTAGAATATGGAAACTAATGCAGGTTCGCATTATCGCACTGCTTTATCTCCGTTCCACAGCCAAGTTGGTCACCACAAGTGGGATATATATTTCCTCTCGTTCAATTTCCCAATAATTGATTTCCCTTCGTTGCGTCTGTTTTTTCCTTTCTGTTTCTACTTTTTTTGCCGTGTGGTTTGGTTTACACCTTGGCTGCGCGCCACATGATGTACCGCTCAGTACCATACGGGCAATATACAGCACAGTACAGTACAGAAAAGACCAACAATAACCGCTGGGAGAATGATCTTGACATATATATATATAAATATTCTAACTGCGGCCCCTTAGGAATTCATGAATTCGTTATATTTTAGCCAATGTCTATCTTATTCAAACAAATCCATATTCTAATTCCCAGTCACTTACAGTAATGTAACGTAATGTAATGTAATGTAACGCGATGTAATGTAATCTAATGTAACGTAATAGAATGTAACGTAATGTAATGTAAAGTAACGTAATATCACATAACGTAATGTAATGTAAAGTAACGTCATGTAACGTAGCGTAACGCAATGTAATGTAACGTAACGTAATGTAACGTAATGTAATGTAGTGTAACGCAACGTATTGTAACGTAATGTATATAATGTAATACTGGAAAGTTTAGGGATAAACCTAACCCTCTTTCATGTTTATATAGACATCCTTCCCTTTCAGGTTCAATCGATTGCCAATGGACTTTGGCTCAAGATGCAAAAGCTGCACACTGCCTGCTGGTCACGTCACCTTGTGTGTTTCAGTGTTTTTTCCTTTTAGGGGTGCTTGTTCATTGATTCAATTGGTTATCAGCCGTAATTTGTCCTTTGTCGTATCACTCAAATTCCACCTTTTTCACTCTCGACGTTTGGTGGTATCGTATTACCACTGCATGGGCCTTGCTGCCTCCTCGTCCTCACGAGCTGACGATCCGAACGTGGCCGCTCGTGAGTACGACGAGCAGTGGTATATAGTCCTGGAACTCGCAGAGGGATCAGGGGTGGGCGTCCTGCGAAGAGGAATACGTCTCTGAACAGCAGTGCATCGACCCTCTGAGCATGCCCGTTGCCCACAGTGGTGGCCAGCAAAGACCACTGTACACATCGGCGCTGTGGGAACCGTCAAGCGGCTCAGAAGGCAGTGTCGGGATCGAGGTCCCGGTCACCCAAGCGCCTGAGCAATTCTTGACACAGGAAGTTTCGCCCACATGGCTTGGTCCTCGGCCGGAACTTCTGCAGGCGAAGCCAAAGTCTTATCCTCGATTTGAGGAGGCGGTGCGAAGCCACAGCCCAATGATGCCGCTCCTTTCATCTTCTTCCTCTTCTGAAGTTTGCATTCTGAGCGTGGCCTTAGCCTTAGCTTGCTGCTCCTGCCCCACTTCCTCGGGAGCATGTCCATGGCTCATTCTGCTCTGAGGCCTTAGAGGGGCGCGTAATGCATAGTCTTTGTCCGGGGGGTGAAGCCGTCCTCCTATTTTACCTGCTGTTGGTGGTTCGGACCTCATAGATGTCTGAACCGTGCGGATTGACTCTCACCCTCTGTCCATAGCACTTCTTTCTTCTCGTCGTGTGGTTTCTTCAAGTGAGACTGTTGTTGACTTGACAAGGGAATTCCCAGTCATTGGCAACATCTCGACATCGCAGTTGGTGGACGGTTTGTGTTACTCTCATCCTGCTCCAGGAATCGCACTTCGACAGGGGAACCCAGGCGCATCTCCAAACGCTAAGGTTCATCCGACGGTGAAGAACTACGTCTGGCTGGCTGAGGGCGTTGGATCGTTCACAGTAGCCTGCAGCAACCGTCGTAGCATTCGATTATCACCAAGTGCTCGACGTGGACCGGAGATCAAGGTTTAAGTCTGAAAGGATTGAGTTTTTTTCCCCGCCTCTTCATCGACAGACAATTCAGGATCTCAGAAAATTTGTGGAACAGCAGTTTGCAGGGAAGGCCAAGATTGTGTGAGTTGATGTCACACATTCACAATTCTCAGGACAATCTTCGAAAGTTGTTGAACACTGTGGAAACATCTCAGGCATCTTATTGTTTGATTGCAGTTACAACAGCGCGAGTCGGCATATCGGGCAAGCTGGGTATGCTGAAAGCCCTTGCACCTGGAGGCCGCTTTTTGTTGCTAGACGACAATAGGCTGATCGGGCAGGAATTTCCTAGAGAAGGAGCTGCATTCATTCAAATCAAAAAACCATCTGAGGGGCTCTTCGTTCCGTGGGAATGGTCGGCCTGGAGCGTGTCAGATCCACACGTGATTGACTTGATCAAGACCTTTCTGCAAGAAGACCGGTAGTTTTTAAAAGCCTCTGGGTGTTAAGCTGCTGCGGCGCTTCTCCCAGTAGTACCGTGCTCTTTTGCTGTGTCATCCACTGCGTTGCTGACAGTTTCATTGATTCCGATTTGTTTGATTTCCAATTTCGTTCGAGAGTGAGTCAGGGCACTTGGGTTGCAGTGACACGTCATCAAGTTCGAGTGTCAAAATTTCGTCAAGTCAAGGTGAGCCCCAGCTGTGGTTGTGTTTCACTGCTGAGTTCCACCGCAGTTTCAAAGACAGGTGGACTATTGCTGTGCGTGTTTCACTGCATAGTTTCACCGCAAGCGTTCGTCCATTTTTCAGATAGCCTCGGGTTTCGCAGCTTTGTCCTGTCACTGCTGAGTTTCACTGCGGCGTTTTGCATTGAATTAAAACCCATATCCCTGCGAAGTTGCCTGGCACCGCAGTGGTTGCAAGCAGCGAAGACTGCAACATCAGTCCATTTGATTTGCACAGTCCAATTTACTTTTTGAGCCTCTCACTGACTGGCTGCATGTCCAGCGCCACTGTGAGTAGTATCGCTTCTTGAACTGTTGGATTGTGTTTTTGATATCAACTTCCAATCAGATGAATTCCAGTAGTGGTCCATCGAGTTTGAACTTGAGTACGGAGTCGGTTGAAGCTATGGTTAGTGATGCAATGTTGCAACGTTCAGGAAGCCAATCGTCATCCAATACTCCTCGAGGTTCCCGTCGAGTGAAAACGGCCTGTGGTGAGAGCCCAGGAAGACGCAACATTTCTCAGGTTATCAAGCGCTTGCCAAAACCACCTGAACATGGCAAGAGTGTTGCGGTTGTTTCCACTTCTTGTGCACATAGTCCGGCTTCGCAGTCGTCACAATTGCCCACGGGGAACCCAGCAAATGGTCCGTGCTCTTCGGTTCAGAACACCATTGAATATAATATCATGATATGAGGTCACAGCAAGTTAATGTTGTAATTGATCCCATGTTTTTCGCTGGAATGGTGTCTCAAGCTCGTAAGATAGTCCAGGAATCGGAAGGTAGAGCCCAGGGCTTGGAACAATTGGCACAGGATGTTTACAAACAAGCTTGCGTTCGCATTCAAGAGTTGGTCAATGTGGCTGAAATTTGTACCAATCCAATTGCAGTCAAGCTTCCAGTTTGCAGCTCCCTAAGATGAAGCTTCAAGAGCAAATCCACCGAAATCGAATGTTGACGGAACAGATGGAACATCATAAGGTTCAGTTGAGGGATCAAGTTCACCAGAATAGAGTTTTGGCCAGCGAGATGGAATCAGAGAAGTCCCGGGTCCATAACATGTTTAGCCTTTTTGGTCATAAAGATGCTGAAATCACCCGGTTCATGTCTGAAGTTTCAGGTCTCCAGTCAGCGAATGCCCGGCTTGAGGAGAGACTGGCTGCTCTGAGCGCCACTCCACCAGATGCGTACCGTGAGCCAGAGGCGCCGAGGATGCCGAGTGTTGACATCACCCCTCAGTTGAACCCTTTGTTTGAAGCCATCCAGAGTTTGTCGCGTCGAATGGATTCTTTAAACACCCCTCAAATGAGCCATAATAGCACGGCAATTTCAAATGGTCAGCCGCATGTTGCACCTCCCTCGTTTGGCAATGATGATTTCGCCGCCTTGCCGCCAACAGGGCTTCGTTTGCCGATTGGTCCTCCGGGTCCTCCTCTAGATGATGGCAACTGGCCAGGGGATGGTGGGGATGATGATGAGGAGGAAGAACTGGTTGCCGATGATACCCCTTTACATGAAAAACGGGAAAGATTTGGTTGATTCCAGGGCTGTGTTGAACCTTTGCCCAGCAGTGCATCCATCCGACTATCGTCAATGGAAGAACACACTCATACTCATACGCATTCTTTTGTTTTGGACGCCTTGACACTTCCGGTGAAGAGGCTTTGACTCAGTGGATTGCACCTGCGTTTCATGTGGATTCTGTGAAGGCTTCAGATTGCGTGGGGTCGCCTGGTTTGTTTCCACGTCTTGACAGGTGGCTTGCAGGTGAGTTGCTTAAGTCCATTAAAGGTTTGCCTGGGTTGTCTTTCAAGGTCCAAGCATATGTTGAAGGTTGCACTCGCAAGGTTGAAGCCCCCAGAGGAAGAGCCATCTTGAGCATGATTTCCCGTCACTTTGATTTGGACCAGAATCGTGGAGCATTACTCACCGCGCAAAGTGTCTTTCAGATCACCTTCCAGAATTTTCGATCAAAGAACTGCAGGATTTTTCAAGTTTGACGATGCGTACTCCCAACTCAATTCCTTCAGAGGATTGGCCTAGCAAGCGTATGTTGGGAGAATGGTTGTTTCATCAGCTGCGTCATGTCCGGAAGCTTGAGAGAACCATTAACCAGATCAAGCGTTCAGAGCCTCAGTCGTACGAAAGGGATTTCTCATTTATTTGGGAACGCCTCCAACAACTTTCGGTTGAAGAACGCGAGGATGTCAATGCTCGTGCCATTGAGCAGGCACTCAAGAGTCCTAAGAAAACCGGACAGCCGTCCAACAAGACACCAGCTGTGCCAGCCAAAGCATCGCCAGCAGGTCCTTCAGTCACTGAAGCGGTTTCGAGTCCGGCTCCGCCAAAGAAAGCAGGTGCGAAGCCACCACCGACAGCAAAATCCAAAAGCGCTGGAAAGCCCATGTCAGCCGCCGATAAGGCAAAGACACCATGCATTTTCTTTCAAATGCCGTCAGGTTGCATCCATGGTGACAAGCCTTTGTATTCCCATGTGAAGTCACCACCACCAGCCAAGGGTAAGTCAGATTCAAAGGCCGATCCAAGGCTAAGCCGAAACAGTCAAGGTTGCAGCTGCAGTCGCAGCCGTGGCTGCGCTTAGTTCTATGGTGACGCCCTCTCAGGCCATTGGCATTTTGGAGGGGGCTGCAGACACTGGTGCCGGCCAGCATTTGGTTTCGTATGAAGCGTTGAGAGAGCAAGGCTATCATGACAGTTCCCTTTTGTGCTGTACAAATGATTCCCAGAGACGCCAATCACTTCCTTTTGGACTCATGCCCCATGATGCCCCATGGTTCGTTCAATCGGACTTGATGTTGAGCAGAATGCTTTGGGATTTGTTTGGTTCCCTGGATCTTTGCCGTACCTTGTGCGGGACCCATCGGCCTGTGAGATCAAATGCAAAGAAGATAACAAGTTTTATGCTTCAAGAGCTCGCTGCGGAGCCAGCTGATCCAAGCGGCATTTTGTCAGATCCAGCTGTTGAGCCTGGCGTTGATGTAGGTGATAGATCATCAGTTCCAGCTGAAGTGAGAGAAGTAGCTCCAGATGTTCCATGCCCAAATTGCCCGAATCAACTGTGAGTGCCAGAGCCGACTGTATCCATCGAACATTGCATTAACCATTTTACAAAGCATCTTTTGTGTGAAAATTGTAATCGTTCAAAGCTCTTTTCAAAACGAGTTAAGTCTCATCGTGTGCAAGATCCTGATGCCGACTTGCCTGAGTCTACCAAATTCGGGGAGCAGATTGCCGTTGACCACATGATTGTTTCAAAGTCACCAGGGGGACGTGATTTTTTTGGTGTTGGTTGTGTATGACTCTTTCCGTGGAATTGTAAATGCGTATCCTGCTACCACTAAGAGTTCAGACTTTGTATACTCATGCCTCAAGCACTTTGTTGGACCGCGGTTTAAACCCAGACGCAGTCTGCCGTAGCGATGCAGCACCTGAGCTTATCAAAGCCATTCGTGAGCTCGGTTGGCTACCAGAGACGTCTCTTCCGAGGCGTTGGCCTCACAACGCCAAGTGTGAGAGTATTATTCCGACTTTTGAAGAATGCCGCCGCTGTCTTCACTTGCAAGCTGGTTTTGCCATGATGCCCAAGCTTTGGCCAGTCACTTGTAGGTATGCAGCTGTAGCTATCAGCATCGATAAATGGAAAATTGCGTTTTACACTAGCTTTAGAGGTGCCAACTATGCCCTTGGACAACTTGTGTTCTATCGCACTAAATCGTAGTACAAGCCCAAACTGGATCCCAGTGCTTCCCCAGCTTTAACGGCAGGTTGGAAGTTGGACTTTGGCCTCAGGTACAAAGGTGTTTTGATCGTGCTTGATAACGCCGCTCTCCGCGAAGGAAAAATATAAGTGTCCAAGTGCCAGACAAAGAAGTTTACACTCGTGATACCCTTTCTTTTCCTCTTGCGGATGCCGCTGAAAAAGCATTAATTAAATAATTTCTCTGACCTGGATCAAGAAATTCTCGATAGCCAGGAACCTTTGCCAAGTCCTTTCATTGAGAATTCTCCAGAAATGAAAGAAAAATCCAGAAGAGCTTACATTAAATTTGGTCGTATTCAGAAACTTAGGGCAACTCCTGGATGCCGTGCATGTTTGGCCTTCACTCCAAATCACACACCTGAGTGCGTAGCTCGGCACAAAAAAAAATGCGGGAAGAAAGATCAAACCCCAATTGAGCACGAAGAAAAGGGTCTTGAAGAATTGCTTGATGAGCAGTTTCCTCCAGGACTTGATTTTGAGTACGAACCATCAGTTGCATCTCATGATCCACTCGATGACGATGAAGTTCCAGAATGTCCGCCCCCTGATGCTGTGGAAGATGGGGATGATCCCGTCCTTGGTGTCGCATCCGGAGTTCAGGAAGTTAACAACTGCGAAGTTGAGCAATCTTTGCAAGATGAGGAACCCTCACAAGTCACTTGCGGAGTATCAGCTGTTGTCAACATCGCCCAAGATCTTCAAAGTCTTCTTGACGAGGAAGATTTGCAGAAAGCTTTTGGTGAAGTTCTCATTTTTGGTTCCAGTGAATGTCAAGGTGCTGTAGGTCTGACAGGTGAGCAGCCACATAAGCTTAGTTCGGGACGACACACCATGACAGGGGGGAATGTTTTGTTTGAGTTTGCCCGCAACAAGGATTCAAATCTTGGAGCTGTTGGTTCTGAACATGGAGTTCGTGTCATTCGCTTGTGCAAGGAGGACATCGATCTAGAGTGTCCAGAAAGCATTGAGCAATTGATTGAACAAGCTCGTGCACTTCCTGGATGTTCCATTCACTGCTCAATAGGGTGCAGACCCTGGTCGCACCGGCAACGCCTGAGTCAAGCAAAACATCCTTGTTTATACAATCGCTCGCGTCAAGAAAGAGCGTACAGACAGTGAGAACTTGCTGAAGCAGTTTATAAGGGTCGCTGATGTGTGTTGAGACAATGGTGGTGATTGCAGTTTCGAGTGGGCTCGGTATTGTTTGGGATGGTCGCTTCCATCAGCCTGCTGCCTTCAACGGTGGCACAGTAGGTGCAGAGGCAGACGGCCAACCTGCAAAGAAGTTTTGGAGATTTGTCACGTCGTCCGCTCGACTTGCAAATAGCCTGTCAGCTTTGGTTTGCCATCACCATAAACACGCCCCCCTTGAGGGAAAATGGACCCAAATGTCTGCATTCTATCCACGTCCGTTGTGCAATTTCATGATTAATGCCCTATTTCCGCATGTTGTTAACCAGCATGTGTTTTCCATGCCTTGTGAACCCAGGGCCGACCACTCACATCGTTCCACAGTTGTGCTTGGTAACCCATGCATGCCCATGGACGTTGTCATGTATGAGGTAGGTTGTAAAGAAGTCACCACCCATGCTCTTGTGCACCGCCTCTTGGATCGTCATGAATGGAGGGGACGACCAGAAGTCCCCTCTGCCATAGACTCCGAGAAGAATGGCTTGTTGGAGGGTGGTACATGGCTGGAGTCTGAATTCATCTCAAAAGCTGATGTCTTGAAGTATTCTGGCTCCACTGTGCATTTTGGCTCTCTTATGGTGATCGTTTCAATAAAAGGGTATGAGAAACATACCAATGACTGGAAAATCAAGCTAGAGTTGTTTATCGGGGAGATGCAGTGAAGGATCAAGACGGTCTTGCCGCCACCTTCCAAGAGTTGCAGGCCAGTGCTCCAAGTTCAATTGCTGGGTTGAACCTTGTGATGGCTTACTCCATGATAGGTGACAACACTTGCACGACTTCCGATTGCATTCGGGCCTGTATCCAGTGTTTTTTGAAATCAAAGCATCCGACCTTTGTTTTATTACCACCGGAACTTGTTCCTGCAAACAAAAGACACATTGTTCAACCATACGCGCCACTGCACAAAGCACTTTATGGACATCCAGAGTCCAGGGCACATTGGACATTGTATCTTGCCGACGTTTTGAGAAACAAGATGAACGGAAAGGAGTTAGAGAAGATGCCTTCAGTTTGGTGGTTTGAAGCAGGTCGCATGCTGATGTCAATTTACGTAGATGATTTGACATTAGGTGGCAGCAAGAATTCTCATCCATCCTTGTGGAAGGAACTGCAACAATATATCAATCTTGACCCCTTTTCAGAGTTTGGTCGTGTGCTTGGCCGTGATCACCGAGTTCTGAACGGCGAGCTTGTTTTGGGTTCAAGTGCTCCCACACGCCAGTGCCTTTCTTTATATCAAGAGTTGGGTGGGAAATCAATCGAAGCGGCACCAACACCTCATTTAGAGGAAGGACCATTACTGCCTGACGATGATGCCGTGAAAGGACAGTTGCTTCCAGTTGCTGCCCGGCTTGTCAGGAAACTGATGTGACCTTCGCTGTGAACACCCCTTGCTAAGCATATCACAATCTGGAGTGTCAATGACGACAAGAGAGCTGCCCGCCTTTTGGTTATTTTTCAACTACTGTTGACTTGGCACACCTCATGGTCATCAAAGACGCACGGGATGAACTCCATCTCCCTCTTTACTGCGACGCTGACTTTGCTGGAGATTCAAAGACGATGATGTCAACTTCCGGCTACGTCATTGCGTTGGAGGGCAGTTCCAGTTTGGCTCTCCTTTCATGGGGAAGCCGCAAGCAAAGCGTAATAAGCCGCAGCACAACAGAATCAGATCTTTTTTCGCTGTCCGGCGCTTAGTTTTCTGAAGGGCTGCCATTGTTGGAATTGTGGCAAGTCATTCACCCCCCAATGTTTCCAAGAATCTTGGAGGGTAATTCGGCCGTTAAAGCCATCATCCCAAAGGGATATTCCCAGAAGCTTCGTCACCTTGCGAAGACACATCGTGTGAATGTCGCTTCCGCCGGTCGTGTGTTCGCTTGGGATTTGGATCGCTTAGAACCCCGCAATTTGGATCGCATAGAGCCGTCCTGGAATCATCATCATCATCGCATCATCATCCTCATCATCATCATCATTCCACCATGCTGGTCCCCTAAACCCGCCCCATGTCCCAGCCCCGTGTCCCCAAGTGTTACCCTAAAGGTCTCATTCCACCATGCTGGTTTTAGCAGCTTCAACCATCAACATCTGGACTTGTGGTTCTGCTGATCCTATTTATGTGGTTCTAAGTGGTGCTTTTTGGTTCTAAGTGACCCTGTGGTTCTGAGTGATCCCAATCCTTTGGTTCTAAGTGATCCCCCAACCCCTTCGGCCTGTGAGGTTGTGAGCACCAGCGACGAAGTGCTGATCCAGCATGTCCCATCAGAGGATGAACGCAGTGATATCACGACCAAGGGTCTCGCCCTTCAGGAGTGGTCTCGTGCTTTGATGTTGCTCAACATGAAGTTCATCACCTGACTTCCAAGGTTTTACCCAGAAAGTACTTTCGAACCAGTCACCCATCATGGATGTGACTAAGTCCCATCTGTGTTTATGTTTATCCTTTGGATTTTGCTTTGCCATTTCCTTGGGTTGACTCCCAGCGACCGTTGCAAGTTGCTAAGCGCACAGTTGTGGTTGAGATAAAATTCCATCCGCAAAACCTTTTGGACTTTCACTGTCTTCTTACCGTCGCCCGCCGAGATCCGGAGTTTAGCTGCTAAGGCGCTTCTCCACATGCATCCGGTTGGACTTCAAGCATCGGTAATTAATTGCATGCCATGGATGTGCATGGAGTTAACAGGCATGATGGGATCTCTTCCCTTTCAGGTTCAATCGCTTGCCACTTGACATTGGCTCAAGATGCAAAAGGTGCACGCTGCCCGCTGGTCACGTGTGATTTAGCGTTTTTTTCCTTTTTGGGGTGGTTGTTCACTGACTCAATTGTCATGCAATGTAACGTAATGTAACGTAATGTAATGTAACGTAATGTAAAAATGTAATGTAATGTAATGTAATGTGAATGTGATGTAACGTAACGTAATTTATTGTAATATAACATAATGTAACGTAATGTAACGTAACGTAATGTAACGTAATGTAGCATAATGTAGTGTGATGTAGTGCAACGTAACGTAATGTAATGTAACATAATGTAGCGTAATGTAACGTAATGTAGTGTAACATAATGCAACGTAATGTGGTGTAGCATAATGTACGGCAATGTAATGTAACGTAATGTGACGTAATGTAATGTATTGCAATGTAATTTAATGTAAAATATCGTAACGTAACGTAATCTAATAAAATGAAATGTGACGTAAAGTAATGGAATGTAAAATGTAACGTAATGTAACATAGTGTATCGCAGTGTAAGGAAATGTGACGTAATGTAATGTAACGTAATGTAACGTAGTGTATTGCAGTGTAATGAGATGTGACGTAATGTAACGTAATGTAGCGTAGTGTATCGCAGCGTAATGACATCTGACGTAATGTCACGTGATGTAATGTAGTGTATTGCAGTGTAATGAAATGTGACGTAATGTAACGTAATGTAACGTAGCGTATGGCAGCGTAATGAAATGTGACGTAATGTAACGTAACGTAGTAAAATGTGTAGAAGGGAATAATTTGGACAAAGGCTCTTCAGATCATTTGGAGCACAGCAGATTTTTGCCGTGGGATTGTTGAGTCCAGTCTGTTTCTCCAGGCCGAGCGACTCAGCTTGTCGTTGGTCGAGGCCCAAGGCTCTAGATCTTTCAGTGCAATGGTTTCCTGCGAGGAGTTCTGACAGTGCTTTAAAAATAGAGGTTGGGGCACAGAGGCTAAAAACCTAGGGCTGGAGCGTTTGGTTTTGGCCCACAGATGGCTTTGGCCAAAATCCGAAAAACGTTAAGCAAAGGATCTCATTTTTTGGTCGAAAAACATAGGCCAATAATTTTTTTTGTTTATATATATATATATTGTTTTTGAAGAGCTTTGCCAAACGTCAAGCTCAGGGTTTTATCCAAAGTTGGATTTTCAACATGAGAGTCAGTGAAAGGCTGGGGTCACGGGTTTTCATCCAGGAACATTTTTTTCCATAGAATTCAGCAGCTACCCAGGGGGAACTTCAGCTCACAGGTTTTCATCCACAAACAAAATTTTGGTCACGGGAACTTGAAGTGCTCACGACATAGACCCCTAGACTCCAGACCCAAGCAAAGGTTTTCATTCACAAGTTGTTGATGTTGTTGAAAGCACAGAGCTGGAGCACCGGATTCTGGCCCTTGGTTTTTTGGGGCCATAGCGGATGGCTTTGCAGAAATGAGTGGTTGTGTATGGAGCTGTTCTGGCAGAGTTCAAAACAGGGATGTGCGAGAAGAAATCTTGGGGTTTGAGGTTTTGTTTTTTCTTGCAGCAATGGTTTCGGACAGATTTGCGGAAATGCGCGGTGTAACTTGGAGAGCTGTTCTGGCAGAGTTCAAAACAGGGATGTGCGAGAAGAAATCTTGGGGTTTGAGGTTTTGTTTTGTCTTGCAGCATTGGTTTAGGACAGATTTGCGGAAATGCCCAGTGTAACTTGGAGAGCTGTTCCGGTAAATGAAACGGTGGAAAGAGATGAAATCCTAGGTGTTAAGGGATAGGAGAAAATGAAGGTAGAAATCGCCCACAGTGGCTGAAAACATAAGCCTGAGATTCATGAAAATTAAATGGTGACATTCTTGGGCCTGAGTTTCATGAAGCAAAAAAAGTGAAGTGCTTGCGCGCTGAGATGTTGGCGTCTGGGTTTTTATTTCTGCATTTTTTTTTGCCACTCTGGGGTACCAGAAACGTTATTGAAGGTTTTTGGCTGGGGGGCTGAAAACCAGGTTGCCTCCCTAGGATGCAGACCAGATGTCTATTTTAGAAATGAGGACATGTGCTCATGATTGCTCATGTATATTACGGTAATATCATCGATGTTTTACAAGTTCCCACCTGACAGCTTTTCCCAGAGAAAGAGAGAGAGAGAGCGAGGGAGGGAGGGAGGGAGGGAGGGAGGTGCAGGCACAGCAGTACATAATTCAAAGTATTCAAGTCTAAGGTGGAGTTATTTTGTGGAACATGTTTATTTCACTTTCTGAATGTTGAGTTGCAAGGTGCTGACCCTGGACATTTCTGGTCCTTTGCGCAAGGGTCCGTCTGCCGGTTTCGGATCCTCAGCGCCTGCCTAAGTGATCAGCTTCCAGTCTTTTGGCCAAGCTTCGGCATTGTACATGATTGTACAGGTATGTATGGAAGTTGCACTGCATTGTAAAAGTGGCACAGCACACAACGTGACATGATGCTACCTGGTGCATCAAAGGTGAGCAGGTTTTTTGGGAGAGGCTATGATCGCAGCCAGACTCCGCCCAAGCGCAGGGCCCCAAGAGCGCTAGTCACGAAAGCTAGCTTCTGCTAGCTGAAGTCCCTATTGCTTTAGCAAGGTATTCGCAGGGGTTGGAATCCCGAACCGTATGCAACTTCACAGTTAGCTACGCCCCCTGGTTTTTTCACAAACAGTTTTGCGGTGGCTCAATCCACCCTGGGGACATCATCGCCATGTCGTCGCCGGCAGCATCACCAGCATCACCAGCATCATCAGCATCATCAGGCTTACTTTCCACTTGGTATCACCCAATGCCTCACACGCCGCTCTTCTCCCTTTGCCCTCCTTGTCTCCTTCTAGCTTTCTTCCATTACTTCTTGGCCTCAACTTTGTTCTGCTAGCTGCTGTCGCCCTGGCAAAAGTTCAATGTACCGTAATTGCTGGCCAGTCTTGGTTGGCTCTAGAAGGGAACTCACATTTATTCACATGTGTGATCCCAGAAACCGATAGGAAACCATTATTTCTACGTAGGTTGTAGAACTATACATTTGGCTTAATAAATGACCACACAAAGAAAATAATAAATAAACACATAAATACAAAAATAGATAAATAAATAAACAAACAATCGACATAAAAAACAAACACACAAAATTAAACAAATAAATTCATACAGCATACAATAAATAAATGGGTCAATAAATGAATTAATATATTTGTGTGTTTTTTCTTCGAAGTTTCTTCTTTGAAAGTAGCTCAACCGTCCACCTTAGGCTCGGGCGACTTGAGCATCACCGATGCAACATCGCTTCCAAGTGCAGACTGCGTTAGGGCCTTGTTCCAGCAGCAGACTTTCCTACTCTGCTCCGATGCCCCAAGATTCGAACCTCTGGCAGGGAATTCTGGTTGCTTGTGGAGGATCTGGAACTGGTGGACCAGGAAGTCTGTCGATGACTTAGTCTCGTGACACAAAGGCCCAAATGGTGCCTTTCCTTGTTTGAAGTAAGGTTGAGTGCATGGCAGTCGAGAACCCAGCCCAAGGACTGGCTTGAGCAAAGCAATGATGGGGTTCAAAGTTGTTGAAAGTAGGACCCCTGTTTTCCCCATGGTTTTGTGATTACGAAAGCCAGCTGTCAAGCATGGCGAAGTTGCTCATTGCGAACGAAGTGAGAATAGGGGGTCTGGGGGGCGGTGGCTGAAAACATGGACAATTTTGAGGCACTTCCACCTAATTGGGATGGCCTCCGTGGTCGATTTTGAGCGATTTTGAGGCTGATGTGCCAGGTGGCAATTGCGTGACGGTGGGGTTCGATTCCCCCCTGGTCCGTCCTCCGACGTGCACTTGGGGAGACTGGAATGGAGGGTAAAATGATGGAGAAATCGAGTAAAACCATGGAAAAACTAGACGACGGATGGCCCGAGAGCGTAGAGGAGCAGAGTCTTCTGTTGTTAGTATGGAAACACTATATTACAAGACAATATATTAAAGATGTATTATAGGCAGACGAGACAATATATCGCAAACACAAGACAATAGTTTGCATCGTATCTCTCGTATATTTTCTTCGCACGCGGAACTTTTCACAGACGGACGTTTTTGTACACAGAGACTTTTACACACAGACGAATTTACACAAAGACGCTTTTACAGAAGCTTTTGCCCACAGACGCTTTTACACACAGACCCTTTTAAACAAAGAAACTTTTACACAGAGACGCTTTTACACACGGAAGCTTTTACACACAGACATTTTTACACACGGAAGCTTTTACGCATAGACACTTTTACGCACATAGGTTTTTACACACGGACGCTTTTACACACAAACGCTTTTACGCACAGATGCTTTTGCACGCAAACACTTTTACATACAGACGCTTTTACACAGAAGCTTTCACACACAGCGGCTTTTACATACAGACAGTTTTACACACAGACGCTGTGACACACAGACGCTTTGACACACAGACACTTTTACACACAGACGCTTTCACACACACACACACTTTGACACACAGAGGCTTTCACACACAGACGCTTTTACACACAGAAGCTTTTACACACAGAGAGTTTTACACACAGAGACTTTTACACACATACGCTTTTACAGACAGACGCTTTTACACAAACACCTCCACACGCAGAGACTTTTACACACAGACGCTTTTACACACAGACACTTTTACACACAGACGCTTTTACACACAGACACTTTTACACACAGACGCTTTTACACACAGACGCATTTTACACAAACACTTTCACACGCAGAGACTGTTACAGACAGACGCTTTTACACAAACACCTCCACACGCAGAGACTTTTACACACATACGCTTTTACACACAGACGCATTTTACACAAACACTTTCACACGCAGAGACTGTTATAGACAGACGCTTTTACACAAACACTTCCACACGCAGAGACTTTTACACACAGACACTTTTACACACAGACGCATTTACACACAAACACCTTTACGCACACAGACCGGACCCGTGAAATCACAAGTTTACCTTCGTTTTTGGCGATCGAACCTCATTTCGTGTGAAAGTGTTCGCCGGACAACTTGCAAATCACAATTTTACCTCAGTTTTGGCGAGGGAACCTCATTTCGTGCGAAAGGGTTGCGACGGGAACCCGGAAATCGCAATTTTACATCACTTTTTGCCGATTGAACCTCATTTCGTGCGAAAGCGCCGGAAACACGAAATCGCAATTTTACCTCAGTTTTTGGCGATCGAACCTCATTTCGTGCGAAAGGGTTGCGCCCGGAAGCAAGAAATGGCAATTTTACCTCAGTTTTTGGCGCGAAAGGATTGCGTTTCGTGCCGTCTCGTTGGCACTGCCCCGCGCCTTCAAGAGAGAAATAGAAAAGAAGGAGCGAGCAAGAGGGCAAGAGAGCAAGAGGGCAAGAGAGAATGTGAAGATGTGAAGATGAGAAGATGTGAAGATGTGAGGATGTGAAGATGTGAGGATGTGAGGATGAGAAGATGCGAAGATGTGAGGATGTGAGGATGAGAAGATGTGAAGATGTGAGTATGTGAAGATGAGAAGATGTGAAGATGTGAGGATGTGAAGATGAGAAGATGTGAAGATGAGCACATGTGAAGATGAGAAGATGTGAGAATTTGAAGATGTGAGGATGTGAGGATGAGAAGATGTGAAAATGCAAGGATGTGAGGATGTGAAGATGAGAAGATGTGAAGATGAGAAGATGTGAAGCTGTGAGGATGTGAGGATGAGAAGATGTGAGAAGATGTGAAGATGAGCAGATGTGAAGATGAGAAGATGTGAAGATGTGAGGATGTGAGGATGAGAAGATGTGAAGATGTGAGAATGTTTGACAGACGCCCGCTATTAGAAGAACCCTTCGCTCAGACGCTCTCGGGAACAATGGAAAAACTGAGGGAATGGAAGGATAAAATAAATCGTACGGATTGGAGTTCCAGGGCGAGGTGTGTGATGGGGCGAGAAGGTTGGAGGGAAGAAAGAGCGTGGCTTGGGCGGGCGAGGCTCTTTTAGGTGGCTGCTGGGAAGCAAAGGAGCCCGCAGGGTGAAGGTTGCAGATGGCTGCTGATGCCTGGGGGTGGGAGGAGGGAGGTGCGTGGCCGTGGGTGCATGCGGTTGGAATGGTTGCTGCAGGCCAGGCAAGGTGAGGTTGCTCGTTCGGAATGAAGTCAGAAGCAGAGGATTTGGGGAAAAAGTGGGCAATTTGAGGCAACTATGCGAGTAGGAGTGGTACTGTTGGGGCGGTTGGAGCGCGATTGGATTGCGATTGGATGGCAATTGGAATCACCCTCAACTTGAGCAACTCCTCCTTCCCTCCCTTGCCGCCGACACCTCCTCTCCCCTTCCGGGCTCCTTTGCGCCCCAAAACCTCGTTAAAAGAGCCCGCCATTCCACTTCCTCAAACACGCTCTTCACCCTTTCCCTACCATTACAACACTTCTTCCCCCGCTCCTTCTTACACATTCTTTCCTTTTCTCCAAAGACACCCCACGGGCGCACCCAAACCCCTCACCATGCCGGCTCCTCAGCCTCCCAAACGATGCCTCAACCAACCCCCAACCGCAATCCCTGCCAGGCTCTCCACTCTCCTGTCTCCGTTCCAACTAGTCCCTGGCTTTCGTCCCCTCCTCTCAGGTCAAATCACATTAAATCATATTAAATATTAAATTTCAAGTCGACTAGCAGGCAGGCGGCAGGCAGGAGTTGCATACAAGGGGAAGTACACATCCCATTGCCTCGGTATTCTGTCAGGAGTCCGGCAATGCCAGCCCCCTTTCAAGGCCTTGGCGAAAAAGGAGTGCATGGCCAATTCAGAAGCAAACTTTGGCATTGCGCTTGTGATTGATTCGCTTGTGTGCTGAAAAACTGAAGCAGAAGATATGGGGAATCAAGCGCGGCCGTGCTACAGGTTTGATCACATTGCTTCCGCCACATCACCGACCAAGATTTTGCGACTCCTGTTGCTTTCCGGAAGCCATGCAGGAGGCTCGCGTGCACACCTGAACTGGATAGATTTAGGCCCTAATTTAGGTGATTTCTTTCTTTCTCCCAATCGTCCCATGAGGCAGCTTGATTCTGGTCAGGTTCCGGGCATGTGATTCTCTCCTTGGACACCTTCGGAGACATCACCTTGTGGTCATTGAGGCAGAGTGTGCAGCCGGGAAGCCACAATTCTCTTTGTTGAGACGAATGACTCGATGCAGGCAAAACTTGTCGCCGAGATCTCAGCTTCCAAAACATGTCCAGCTGCAGTCAGCCTTTCTCAAGCGGCTTATAATCGACAACATTTTTCTTGCCTTGCTTCTACGGCTCCACAGTACATGATATGCAAATTATGCAACAGCTTCTTCTGCTATTCTGTCAAGTCTGTCAAGTCAAAGAGGCCTTTGAGGGTGCTTCCAGGACGCTGTGCTTTTGAGGCCTGTGCTTATGTGTTTGGAGTCCATTGGCCACTGCTTGCACTGGAAAAGACTGACCAAGCCGCCCCCCTTGCCATGAAGAGCGGGCTAAGACAAGAAGCGCAACAGCTGCACTTTTCACCTGGTTCATCCTTTACCACAAACTGAAAGAAGAAACCCGCTGCTTCTGGCACCCACAGTTCCGTTGCACAAAGCACTCTCCTTGTCCGATAGGATCAGTAGAAGGTTGCCCAGGAATAAGGGGGTGGGAATCCTTTGAAGCAGCGAACCAAAGAGCAGAATGGAATGAAGTGCGACAATGCTTACCAGGTTGCATCTGCTCGGACATTTGCATTGGCAGGGTCCGGGCGACTCAGAATTGTTGAAGGCTTGATTTCGCAGCAGGAATCAGAATGAATTCCGAACCTCAGGTCTTTGTACATGGTAGTTGGCACTGGCTCGCGCAGCACTGCAGAGGTTCCAGTTGTACTTTTGCTTGTGCAATATCGTCGTGCAGTTCAGCATGCCGCCGGGGCGAGCGTGTTTGGCAAGAGGCATGGTGTCGCCAGGTTGGTTGGCTGGACGTGGCAGCTATCCTGGAACTGGGTGGAGGATGTGGTGCAGACTTGGCCATTCCATTTGCAGGTCGGGCGGCCTTAGCTGCTGGTTGCAAGATGCTCCAGTTGCTGCATGTCTATGTTGGTGTAGTCGTTTTGGTCATTGCAGCAGTGAGAGGTCGCTCCCGGAGTCGACATCTGACGGCGCCTTTTGTCCCAGGACCACCACATGTGAAACACAATTAAAGGACCGGATAACCGCACAAGTCAACTTCTTCCAATAGTGAGCAACAAATGTTGTAGCGGGACGGGGATGGAAAGACAAAGGAGGTGGTGGAGGATCGAGAAGAAAAAACAAGTTTTATGTGAAGAGTCGTGTGTGACAAAGTTGTATGTGAAAGATGGTGTGTGACAAAGAAAGATGGTGTGTGACAAAGTTGTGTGTGAAAGCTGGTGTGTTTGAAAGTTGTGTGTGAAAGAGAGTGTGTGACAAAGTTGTGTGTGGAAGATGGTGTGTGTGTGTAACATCTGAATAGATGTAAAACTTCTAACCGTCTTTTTTGCATGTCGTTTCCGCACTGATGATGTCTTATTTTAGTGCTTTCAGCAGGGGAGTGCGGCATGATTGTGGGACCGCACTCAACGAAGCTACCACAATCATGGGATACTGGGTCTGATCAACCCGCAATTTTAATTCCAGTTTTGCAATTTCTCACTGATGTCGCAATCTACATTTCTCTTTTGACAATTGAAAGGAAGGGTCAACTTCCAATTCACTTCATTCTGCGCTGGCTATGGCAATGGTTTTTTTCACTGTTTTCGGGTCCTTTCACAGACCCATTCGTGTCAGGTGTAACTGAGTTGTTTTTGCACGTAAGATGCATTCCACAACAAAATTCGCAATGACAGTTCTGAGCAAGTGTGTGACTCATGCTGGATTCGTCAAGGTTGCATGAACCCTTCGGGGAAAACCTCTCTAGGTAGTGCGAACCTTCGACTCGATCTCTGAATTTACATTTTTCAAGCTAGTAATTCGTTTATAGCGCGGACAATCAGTTAGAACGTATTTTGGAAAAAACAATCTGAGTCTTTCACGCTTTTTGGACGTTCTAAGTGATGATTCGTTTACGTTCTAAGCACCCCACTGAGAACGTTCAAATATCAAGATTCATCACTTAGAACGTACCGGTGAATTTAACACTTAGAACGTGTCTAGGTCAATGATGATAGTGGAAAGGCTTGTGAAATCATGTTGCCGCACTCAGAGAAGCCACTCAGGGACCAAATAGACATGTATTGGTGACGCACTTCAAGAAGCTATGTATATACGTGTGCATGCCATATGCTGACAATTGTTTACAATTGCATACGTGCAGTATATATAGAGAGTTCCAAGGGCTTTGTCCAAACCACAATCACTTAGAACGTATTTTTTTTTGGGTTCTGACGTTCTAAGTGTTGGATTCGTAGGAAACATAGACATAATTTCGATTCCACTTCGAATTCCAATTTTCTGCAATATTTTAATTGCGTTATAGAAGGAAATTCACTTGATTTCGAAAGCGAAAAAATTAGTCTTTTTATTAAGGGTTTAAATTTATTATTAGGATCCGCTTCGAAATCCACTTGTTGGCAATATTTTAATTGTGTTATATAAGGAAATTTAACTGATTTTGAAATCGAAAAAAAATGTTTTTCTTATTGAGGGTTTAAATTTATTATTTAGGTCCGCATCGAAATCCAATTTGTGGCAATATTTCAATTGCATTTTATAAGGAAAATTAATTGATTTTGAATCGAAAAAATAGTTTTGTTTTATTAAGGGTTTAAATTTATTAAGGTCGGCTTCGACATGTAATTTTTGGCAATAGTCTAATTGCGTTATAAAAGGAAATTTAATTGATTTTGAATCGCAAAAGCTAGTCTTTTTATTAAGGGTTTAAATTTATTATTAGGATCCGCTCCGAAATCCATTTTTTGGCAATATTTTAATTGCGTTATATAAGGAAATTTAATTGATTTTGAAATCGAAAAATTAGTCTTTCTTATTAAGGGTTTAAATTTGTTATTAGGGTCTGCTTCGAAATCCAATTTTTGGCAATATTTTTAATTGCGTTATATGAGGAAATTTAATTGATTTTGAAATCGAAAAAATAGTTTCTATAGCGACGGACAATCACTTAGCACGTTCTAAGTGTTGGTTTTACGTTCTAAGTGTTGAATTGGCCTCCCTACGTTCTAAGTGATAGTTTTACGTTCTAAGTGAAGAAATTTTGCCTACGTTCTAAGTGTTGATTTCGTGCCACGTTCTAAGTGCATTTTTTTTGAAAAACATTACGTTCTAAGTGGGTGTCCGTCGCTATAAGTAAAGTGGAACAGTCGGCCATTTTTCATGGTTTCGCCTGTCGCCCGTCGTGATGTTGAAACTGCTTGCCGCCGTGCCTGGCCTCACCGTTTTGAACTGAAGTTGAACCGTCAGTCATGGCATTGCCTTCAAATCATGAGACTGGGAAGCATCTTTTTTCAGTGATGCTCGAGCGACATTCCAACAAGCGACAGTGCATTTCTTATGATCTTCCAGGCATCAGAACATGCTTGCAGGTACGGTATGGTGATTCTTCTTCTTTTGTGGTTACTTTGGTGAGGTTCAATTGTGCACCTAATTCATTGATGCTTATAGGGTTGTGACTTGACTGCGGAGGGCCTCTGAGCCTTATCACGACATTCTGAATGCATTGATGGATGCATCAATTCAACAACTAGTCCCCCATGGGTCCCCTATCTCGTGTGTGCTCCTCTCTACAGGTAGGTTGGGTCCTGCGCCTGCTTATATAGGTAGGCTTAGGTTGCGCTGTGGTAGGTTGGTTCAGGCGCTGGTCTTGTTCCGTTCCGTCGGCCTCCGGCTTTCTTTACTTGCCCTTTCAGGGTTGCCCGCTTTGGGCTAGGTGTGTTTGTGTTGGTGTTTGCTCCTTCCCTCTTCTTTTGCGTTCCCCTCTTCGCGTCCTGGTTAAGTCTACTTTCATCTCATTTTCATTCTCACCTCATTTTCATCTCCTTCATCCTCATTTTCATCTCATTTGTCCGGACCTTAATTTTCCCACCCTCCTGCGAGAGGGCGTGTGCGTGTGTAATTTGAATAGATGTAAGACTTCTAACCGTCTTTTTGCATGTCGTTTCCGCACTGATGATGTCTTATTTTGGTACTTTCAGCAGGGGAGCGCGGCATGATTGTGGGACCGCACTCAACGAAGCTACCACAATCATGGGATACTGGGTCTGATCAGCCTCCAATTTTAATTTCAGTTTTGCAATTTCTCACTGATGGCAACGGGCTAAGCCTAGAACCGGCATGGCGATCATGTGGATTGTTTTCCTGTTTTACTGCACTGTTCGCAATCTACATTTCCCTGTTGACAATTGAAGGGAAGGGTCAGCTTCCAATTCACTTCATTCTGCGCTGGCTATGGCATGGCTTTTTTCACTGTTTTCGGGTCCTTTCACAGACCCACTCGTGTCAGCTGTAGCTGAGTTGTTTTTGCACGTAAGATGCATTCCACAACAAAATTCGCAATGACAGTTCTGAGCAAGTGGTTGGAAGTTGTGTGTGAGAGAGAGTGTGTGACAAAGTTGTGTGTGAAAGATGGCGTGTGACAAAGTTGTGTGTGAAAGATGGTGTGTGACGAGGAGTAGATGCAATGCTCATCAGTGAAAACCCTGCTTGTCTTCCGCCCATGGAGAAGATGGAAGGGGAACCCGGGCACGATGCAAAGTCAGATCAAGTTCAGAAAACACAATGCAGAGACACCACGTAACACTGTTTCATGTGCGTTCTAATCATAATCGAAAGCAATGCAGGTGATTCAGTTTTCCAACCGTTGATTCAGGGTTCCAACCGGTGCATAACCAATGTGTTCGGAATGCTTTTGAAGTATCAAAGCCACGTTTTTTGGGACACCAGACAACTCATGGGCCCCTGGCAATCACACACGGGAAGAATGGAACTCAAAGACAGGTGCGAAGGAAAACTAATCGGAAGGCCTGAAACGACGAGCTCATTGGTGCGCACATACGGCACAAATACGCACCCACGTTGGGTCAAAATGTCCACGGGCTCGGAAAGGCACCTGACATTGTTTCATGTGGGAAAACACGTGATGACATAGCAACCAGAAATTTACAAAAAACGGTTGTGCAATCTAGCTACCTTGCGGATTAAAGATCAGTGCTTAGTGCTTAGAGTGTTGGTTCCTAGTATGCAGCATGACCATGCGCTAGCCATGAGCTGCAAGCAGGCCTGTCCTGTGAAGGAGAAAGGCAAAGTACCTGTCTGCGAAGCTAATAGAGCTGCCGTGATGACAAACACTAGCCACAGGTAAAGAACTGAATGAATGCAAATGCGTTTGCAGGATCGAAAAGGCCATAAAAAATTAAACCAGAGCAAGAATCCTATGTTCAACACAAACACACTCTGTTACAGTATGTCAAAGCCAGCACAGCTAAATTCAGGTGCATTGTCCTTGCGTAGAGACTCTCGGGGAGGTACCTCGCGGCGATGCGAGCGACATGCACCAACGTGGCAGCAAAGCTAAACATGGCGTGCAAGTGACACATAGCTAAACAGTTTTCACAAAAGATGCCGGCATCGTTTCCACAAAGTTTCTATCAGACATGCACATGGCCTCTCCCCCACGTTGGGCCAAGGCGAAGCATGCGAAACATGTCGGCATCGCTTCCACGAAGTTTCTATCAAACATATCAAACATGCACAAGGCCTCTTCCCACGTTGGGCCAAAGCGAAACATGCGAAACATGCCAGCATCGTTTCCAGAACATTTTTATCAAACATGCGCAAGGCCTCTCCCCACGTTGGGCCAAAGCGAAACATACGAAACATGCCGGCATCGCTTCCACGAAGTTTATATCAAACATGCACAAGGCCTCGTCCCACGTTGGGCCAAAGCGAAACATACGAAACATGCCGGCATCGCTTCCACAAAGTTTCCATCAAACATGCACAAGGCCTCTTCCCACGTTGGGCCAAAGCGAAACATGCGAAACATGCCAGCATCGTTTCCAGAACATTTTTATCAAACATGCGCAAGGCCTCTCCCCACGGTGGGCCACAGCGAAACATACGAAATATGCCGGCATCGCTTCCACGAAGTTTCCATCAAACATGCACAAAGCCTCTTCCCACGTTGGGCCAAAGCGAAACATGCGAAACATGCCAGCAGCATCGCTTCCCAAAGTTTCCATCAAACATGCGCAAGGCCTCTTCCCACGTTGGGCCAAGCGAAACATGCGAAACATGCCAGCATGGCTTCCACAAAGCTTCCATCTATGACCGAAGTGATGGCGGATGTCGCCAAGTGCCACGCCTGCCACGCAAAGTGAAGGTGGATGTCGCATGATGCCGCCAAGTGCCACAACTGCCACGCGAAACGAAGGTGGATGTCGCCAAGTGCCACGCCTGCCACGCCAAACGAAGGTGCATGTCGCCAAGTGCCACGCTTGCCACGCAAAGTGACGGTTGCTGTCGCCAAGTGCCACGCTTGCCACGCAAAGTGCTGCGGCGTCAAACGGCGCCCAAGCGGCGCCCAAGCACGCCACCAGAGCCAGCCCAGTGCCATTAGTGCCACGCCTGCCACGCGAAACGAAGGTGGATGTCGCCAAGTGCCACGTCTGCCACGCAAAGTGCCGCGGCATCAACGGCGCCCAATCGGCGCCCAAGCGCGCCCAGAGCCAGCCCAGTGCCATAAGTGCCACGCCTGCCACGCGAAGTGAAGGTGGATGTCGCCAAGTGCCACGCATGCCACGCAAAGTGCCGATGTCGCCAAGTGGGACGCTTGCCACGCGAAACGAAGGTGGATGTCGCCAAGTGCCAAGTGCCACGAAGTTGTGTGTGAAAGATGGTGCGTGACAAAGTTGTGTGTGAAAGATGGTGTGTGACAAAGTTGTGTGTGAAAGATGGTGTGCGACAAAGTTGTGTGTGAAAGAGTGTGTGTGTGAAAGATGGTGTGTGACAAAGCTGTGTGTGAAAGAGAGTGTGTGAAAGATGGTGTGTGACAAAGTTGTGTGCGAAAGATGATGTGAAAGAGAGTGTGTGAAAGATGGTGTGTGACAAAGTAGTGTGTGAAAGAGAGTGTGTGAAAGATAGTGTGTGAAAGAGATAGTGTGTGAAAGATAGTGTGTGACAAAGTTGTGTGCGAAAGATGATGTGAAAGAGAGTGTGTGAAAGATGGTGTGTGACAAAGTTGTGTGTGAAAGAGAGTGTGTGAAAGATGGTGTGTGACAAAGCTGTGTGTGAAAGAGAGTGTGTGAAAGATGGTGTGTGACAAAGTTGTGTGCGAAATATGATGTGAAAGAGAGTGTGTGAAAGATGGTGCGTGACAAAGTTGTGTGTGCAAGATGGTGTGTGACAAAGTTTTGTGTGAAAGATGGTGTGTGACAAAGTTGTGTGTGAAAGAGAGTGTGTGAAAGATGGTGTGTGACAAAGCTGTGTGTGTGAAAGAGACTGTGTGAAAGATGGTGTGTGACAAAGTTGTGTGCGAAAGATGATGTGAAAGAGAGTGTGTGAAAGATGGTGTGCGACAAAGTTGTGTGTGAAAGAGAGTGTGTGAAAGAGAGAGTGCGTGAAAGAGGGTATGTGTGACAAAGTTGTGTGTGAAAGTTGGCGGAGGGGTGGGGCCGGGAGGAGCGGACTGGAGCGGGAGCGGGAGACAGAATCAAAAACAAGAACCCCACACAAAGATGTGGGGAATAAAAAAAGCAAGGTGAGAGCGTTTGGTGCAGTAACGAGCAGTGAAGACCAAAGTTGAACATGCGAAGCCAGGCAGTATTCATTGTTTTGATCGATTCTGCAATGATTTCTTCTCCGCGCAGGAGCCAGCACCACTCAAATCACTGGCAACGGCGAAATTTTCTTTCTAAGTTCATCTTCAATCCGCCTGTGCAAGGTTTGGGATCATTTTGGATTGTTTTCATGGCTGTTTTGGATGCAGCTAGAGAAGCGCCTTGTGCAGGTCTCAAGCGGTCGAACGTCTACCCTCTTAGTAGCGTCAGAGGCAGGGCACCCTAAATCGTCAGCTGAAGAGCAGAGCTTTGTCGATTGGTGAGGGGTCGCTACCGGGTACCGCTCCTCCACTCAGCCAATTCCTTCAACATACGAACTATGTATCGATGTAGCTATGTAGCTATGTATGTATGCATGCATGCATGCATGGATGTATAGATGTATGTATGTATGTACGTACGTACGTACGTATGTATGTATGTATGTATGCATGGTATGGTATGGTATGGTATGATATGATATGGTATGGTATGGCGTGGTGTGGTATGGCATGGCATGGCATGGCATGTCATGTCATGTCATGTATGTATGTATGTATGTATGTCGGTATGTGTGCATGTGTGTATTTATGTATGCATGCATGCATGCATGGTATGGTATGGTATGGTGTGGTATGGTATGGTATGGAATGGTGTGGTATGGTATGGTATGGTATGTGTATGTGTATGTGTATGTGTATGTGTATATGTATATGTATATGTATATGTATGTATGTGTATGTATGTATGTATGTATGTATGCATTTTTGTACGTATGTGTATGTATGTGTATGTGTGTATGTGTATGTGTGTATGCGTATGTATGTATGTATGTATGAGTATGTATGTAAGAGTATGTATGTATGTATGAGTATGTATGTATGAGTATGTATGTATGTATGAGTATGTGTGTGTGAGTATGTGTGTAACATAGACCCGGGCAAGCCGGCGGCGGAAGTTTCCCAAACATAAATGACCTATAGTTCAAAGACACCCTGTCCCGACCGTGTCCTTCCCTCGACACTCCACACCTCACACTGCACACTGCACTCTTCGCACTCCAAACTTCAAACTTCACACTCCACACTTCTCACTTCTCACTGCTTCTTCACACTCCAAACCTCACACTTCACACTTCACACTGCACACTTCACACTTCACAGTCCACACTTCACACTTCACACTTCACAGTCCACACTTCACACTTCACAGTCCACACTTCACACTTCGTACTTCACAGTCCACACTTCACACTTCACACTTCACAGTCCACACTTCTCACTTCGCATTTCACACTTCACACTCCACATTTCACACTTCTCACTTCTCACTGCTTCCTTCCCACTCCAAACTCCACACTTCACACTTCTCACGTCGCACTTCACACTCCACATTTCACACTTCACAGTCCACACTTCACACTTCTCACTTCTCACTGCTTCCTTCACACTCCAAACTTCACACTTCACACTTCTCACTTCGCACTTCACACTCCACACTTCACAGTCCACACTTCACACTTCTCACTTCTCACTGCTTCCTTCCCACTCCAAACTTCACACTCCAAACTTCACACTTCTCACTCCACACTTCACTCACACTTCACACTTCATTCACACTTCTCACTGCTTCCTTCACACTCCAAACCTCACACTTCACACTTCACACTGCGCTCTTCGCACTCCACACTTAAACTTCACACTCGACACTTCACGCCCCACACGTCCAACTGCTCTAAACTTACGTGCAACAAAAAAAACTAGCGCCAAAATGGAGAAACTCATAGAGCTTTGGGTCTCATGTCTGAAAAAAAAATGGTCCAGAATGTCATACATTCAACAAACCACAAAACTCCAACCCATGCTGCACAAGGCATTGAAAGATCTCAGTGAGACCTTGCATTGGCTCGCTCCCACGACTTCTCACTGCTTCCTTCCCACTCCAAACTTCACACTCCAAACTTCACACTTCTCACTTCGCACTTCACACTCCACACTTCACTCACGCTTCACACTTCACTGTCCACACTTCACACTTCTCACTGCTTCCTTCACACTCCAAACCTCACACTTCACACTTCACACTTCACACTGCGCTCTTCGCACTCCAAACTTAAACTTCACACTCCACACTTCACACTTCTCACTTCCCACTGCTTCCTTCACACTGCACACTTCACACTGCACTCTTCACGCCCCACACTTCACACTGCTCTAAACCTACGTGCAACAAAAAACACTAGCGCCAAAATGGAGAAAATCTGCTAACAAATCCATGTCGCAGCCTTCATGCAGCCACTCCAATACGATTTACGAGATCGAGCTGCAAAAGACAATAGTATGACAAATGCAGCCACAGCACGAAGCAACCTTGACGCAGCCATTACAATGCGATCTGCAGAGACTGAGTTGCAAAACACAATAGAACTACGCGCAACGGCGTCAGAAATTGTAGCTCCAAAACCGGATGGATCTCGACGCCAGAGCGAAAAAAAGACGATTTTGAAGCACTTTATAAAAGGATTTTTAGAAGGAAAATCACTAGCGCCAAAATGGAGAAAATCTGCTGACCAATCACTGTGGCAGCCTTCATGCAGCCACTCCAATACGATTTACGAAGTCGAGCTGCAAAAGACAATAGTATGACAAATGCAGCCACAGCACGAAGCAACCTTGACGCAGCCATTACAATGCGATCTGCAGAGACTGAGTTGCAAAACACAATAGAACTACGCGCAACGGCGTCGGAAATTGTAGCTCCAAAACCGGATCTCGACGCCAGAGCGAAAAAAAGACGATTTTGAAGCACTTTTTAAAAGGATTTTTAGAAGGAAAATCACTAGCGCCAAAATGGAGAAAATCTGCTGACAAATCACTGTCGCAGCCTTCATGCAGCCACTCCAATACGATTTACGAGATCCAGCTGCAAAAGACAATAGTATTACGAATGCAGCCACAGCACGAAGCAACCTTGACGCAGCCATTACAATGCGATCTGCAGAGACTGAGTTGCAAAACACAATAGAACTACGCCCAACGGCGTCGGAAATTGTAGCTCCAAAACCGGATCTCGACGCCAGAGCGAAAAAAAAACGATTTTGAAGCACTTTTTAAAAAGATTTTTAGAAGGAAAATCACTAGCGCCTAAATGAAGAAAATCTGCTGACAAATCACTGTCGCAGCCCTCATGCAGCCACTCCAATACGATTTACGAAGTCCAGCTGCAAAAGACAATAGTATTACGTATGCAGCCAAAGCAGGAAGCAACCTTGCAATCCCATTTACATTGCGGGAAGGATACTACAGTTGCAAATCCCAATGGAATTACATTGGCAACTCATCCACCAGCGCCACTTGCAATCCCATTTACATTGCGGGAACGATCCTACAGTTGCAATTCACAATGGAATTCTGTCGACCGCACATAGACGAAACACAGTTGAAACCCCATTTACAATGCGGAACCGATCCGAGACCGATCCGACCATGATCCGACCATGATCCGAGGATGATCCGAGGATGGATCCGACCACACACGAGACCGTCTCGCACCCGTCGCACCGCAGAGGTAGATCATCGAGGTTCGGGGACAGACTTTGTATGGAAAAACATAGGGTTTCGTGCATCTGCTATCTCTCAAAAACGCATTTCGTGCGAGACTTCCTTCAAAACTCCATCGGCGACTCCTCCACCAGCACCACTTGCAATCCCATTTACATTGCGGGAACGATCCTACAGTTGCAATCACAATGAATTCTGTCGACCGCACATAGACGAAACACAGTTGAAACCCCATTTACAATGCGGAACCGATCCGAGACCGATCCGACCATGATCCGAGATGATCCGAGGATGATCCGACCACACACGAGACCGTCTCGCACCCGTCGCACCGCAGAGGTAGATCATCGAGGTTCGGGGACAGACTTTGTATGGAAAAACATAGGGTTTCGTGCATCTGCTATCTCTCAAAAACGCATTTCGTGCAGAGGACTTCCTTCAAAACCACATCGCAAACTTCATCCGGCAGAACCACTTGCAATACCAATTTGCATTGCCCGGAAACAATCCAATGGCCACCTACTAAACTATCTTGCTTTAACATAACCCTCCATGAAGAACCTTCGACGAAACTCTAACTGTTTCTCCTTCGACTAAAACGGTATGTGACTAACTCTTTCCCTGACTAACTGTTTCTTTGCTAACCCTTTCTTTGACTAACTCTTTCCCTCACTAACTCTTTCTTTGACTAACTCTTTCCCTGACTAACTCTTTCTTTGACTAACTCTTTCCCTGACTAACTGTTTCTTTGCTAACTCTTTCTTTGACTAACTCTTTCCCTCACTAACTCTTTCTTTGACTAACTCTTTCCCTGACTCACTGTTTCTTTGACTAACTCTTTCTTTGACTAACTCTTTCTTTAACTAACTCTTTCCCTGACTAACTGTTTCTTTGACTAACTCTTTCTTTGACTAACTCTTTCCCTGACTAACTGTTTCTTTGACTAACTCTTTCTTTGACTAACTCTTTCTTTGACTAACTCTTTCCTTGACTAACTCTTTCTTTGACTAACTCTTTCCCTGACTAACTGTTTCTTTGACTAACTCTTTCTTTGACTAACTCTTTCCCTGACAACCTCTTTCTTTGCTAACTCTTTCTTTGACTAACTCTTTCCCTCACTAACTCTTTCTTTGACTAACTCTTTCCCTGACTAACTGTTTCTTTGACTAACTCTTTCTTTGACTAACTCTTTCTTTGACTAACTCTTTCTTTGACTAACGCTTTCTTTGACTAACTCTTTCCCTGACTAACTGTTTCTTTGACTAACTCTTTCTTTGACTAACTCTTTCTTTGACTAACTCTTTCTTTGACTAACTCTTTCCCTGACTAACTGTTTCTTTGACTAACTCTTTCTTTGACGAACTCTTTCTTTGACTAACTCTTTCTTTGACTAACTCTTTCTTTGACTAACTGTTTCTTTGACTAACTCTTTCTTTACATTCTAAAAGTCCGTAACACGGAAGTTTCTCCCACTAAACTTCCTTTGATGAGTATGTATGTATGTATGTATGTATGTATGAGTATGTATGTATGAGTATATATGTATGAGTATGTATGTATGAGTTTGTATGTATGAGTATGTATGTATTTTATGCAATGTATACAATGTATTTAATGTATGCATGTATGTTTGCACGTTTGCATGTAGATGTATGTATGTATGCATGTATAAA